GGGATAAACCACGAAACCTCGGGATAAACCTTCGACAGCACATTTTGGTTCAGATTTGCCAATATTTTCTCCATTTGTTTCAAGTTTACAATTTCCACCCCTCGCTAAAGCGCCGCCACCATACACAGATGACCAAGTACGTCGATGAGCGAATGATGCTGCAGAATAAGCCCTTCAAGAACAACATCCGACACCAACACATGCTTTGGGCTGCAACATAGATGGTGGGAAACTCTGTCGTTGCATCCCCATCTCGCGAAGTTATTTTGGAATGGATCAGAAAAGCGTGGTCAGAAATTACTGTGGAAACAGTTCTCAACACGTGGCGCAAGTGCGGTTATGGATATGTCGTGTATAGAATATGTATATACACAACGATCTACTGCCACTGGTTAGATGATACTCCTGGAGGTGGTCCAAAAGGATGGTTTTAACAATACCAGCGTTTCGTTCGGAGCGTTGCCGCTGGTATTTGCTCAGGGAGGTGCGGTAGTCATCTACAACGATGGCAAACTTGTTCGCAAAGTCTTCTTTCTTCTTTAGCAAGCGCAACCGACGCGGCATGCTTACTCGCTGGCAACAAGGAGGAACACCTTGAGAACCTCTTTCAGGTTCACACTTTCGCCTTGAACCTCAAGGCGGCAAACAACCAGGTCGTCGACTGTAAGGCTATCCCCACACATGTCATGGCAGGTACATGAGCGGGTCCCTTCACCGCTCGACACACCCACGATGTCGACAGCCTTCAGCTCCATGAGGCGACGCGCACACAAACACACTTGGGGTGACTTTACTGGAGCTATAAACCAACCAATCAAATCTTAAACGGGTACAGCCTCGTGGGGATTCTACAAAGCGTTCTGCAATGAGCTCAGCTTTGAAATTGGTACTATTAGACCAGGAGAAATGATGGGTACTGGTAGGTGGGGAATACGGTAGTATACTGTAGCCTATGCCACGCAAGTTCAAGACTTGACGTTGTGGGTAACTTTTAATTTACGAACTACGACAGACAGTACCAGGACGACACGACGTTGGCCAGTGTGTTTGTGTGCGCGTCGACTCATGGAGCTGAAGGCTGTCGACATCGTGGGTGTGTCGAGCGGTGAAGGGACCCGCTCATGTACCTGCCATGACATTTGTGGGGATAGCCTTACAGTCGACGACCTGGTTGTTTGCCGCCTTGAGGTTAAAGGCGAAAATGGGAACCTCGAAGAGGTTCTCAAGGTGTTCCGCCTTGTTGCCAGCGAGTAAGCATGCCACGCCGGCTTCCTCCCTTTGCGCTTGCTGAAGAAGAAATAAGACTTTGCGAACAATATTGCCATCGTTGTAGAGGACTACCGCACCTCCCTGAGCAAATACCAGCGTCAACGCTCCGAACGAAACGCTGGTATTGTTCAAGCCGTCCTTATGGACCACCTCCAGGAGTATCATCAAACCAGTAGACAGTAGATCGTTGTGTATATACATATTCCACACTACATATCCATAACGTTAACCGCACTTGCGCCACGCGTTGAGAATTGTTTCGACAGTAATTTCTGACCACGCTTTTCTGATCCATTCCAAAATAACTTCGCGAGATGGGGATGCAACGACAGAGTTTCCCACCATCTGTGTTGCAGCCCAAAGCATGTGTTGGTGTCGAATGTTGTCCTTGAAGGGCTTATTTATGCCCGCATCCAAAGGCTGCAGGACACAGGTGATGTTCTCCTTGAAGGGCTTATTTATGCCCACATCCAGAGGCTGCAGGACACAGGTGTACTGTATCCACCTAAATATATCATCGATATATCAAAATTGTAATAAAATATTGTAAATACCTGGAATAATTTCCAACTCGGTTCCTACTTTCGCAACTTTGCGAGTGAATGATGGTTGCTTGTGGCACTTGTAGTCGTCGAGTAGAAGCACGCTCGGGCTTTCGTCGCCAATAAACGGCACCCAGACCGATTTTCGCCAAGCTTCTGTCGTCGGATCGTCCATCACGCATTTTTTTGTCACGTACCAAACATGTTGGGGGGCAGGAAGAATCGATCCTTTTCGCCCGGGACCCCCTTAACACAACGTATGGTGGCAACATCTCGCCGGTGGCTGTCACGGCCAAGCACACGGACACCCGAGGATTGTGGGACGAGTACACGCGAGCCGACACAGTCTTCAAGCCCTTCTTCGAAATTGTTGTGTGCAACTTGGGTTCGAAGTATACTGGTGTTTCGTCCATGTTGACCAAACGATTCATCGGAACATTGGCTAAGGTACCAAAAGAGAGGAACCTATCGTTCACGTTGCCAACAAAGTCGTCCATGGTAGCTTGCAGGTGGTTCGAACGCTTCTGTCCTTGGCGAGTTGGACGACGAAGGCACAGGTGGTTCCGATTCAAGAATTCGTAGACCCAGTTTGATAATGCCTTCGCCCGGCCACCGTGGAAGGAAGGATGGATGCTCAATGCCTTGACAATGAGCACTTTTGTACCCACAGCGATGTCTTCGTCGCGCAGGGACTTGCAGTAGGTCTGCACTTCGGCTTCGACCAGAGTCTTTGACACTCCATGGCATTTTCCCACTGTCAACTTGTGCGGCGATTTTGCTGCTGCTGCTTTCAAACTAACCAAGTTCTTGATCCATCTAGAAACCTGACTGGTCTGAAGACCATGCTGCTATGCGGTGGTGTAGGCGCTCTGGTTGGCATTCATGTTCTTGGCGACGATGGCTATCTTGACTTTGACCGAGTAGTACTAATTGCGGCCGATTGTAATGATGGCAAGGTTGCCGACCAAGAATACAGCTTGTCGCATCGTTAACAAAACGATCAAGGCTGTAGAACAAGCTAAAGATTGTCGCACCATTAACGGGCAAGGCCGTTGAAGAAGCCGTAGAGAAAAACATTTACTCGATGTAGTTTAGTATAGCATACATTTTCGTAGTTAGTAGTTTAAGACGACAATCTAATCACTTTCCAATTTACTCAGTGAAGCTCGCTACCGTTACATTTGGTAGCACTTCCTGGTTCTGTTCAGTTCAGTTCGACAGCAAGGACTTACACCGAGGGGCATAGCTCGGATGTTTTAAGGTTACTCAATCTAGTTCAGGCAAAGGTTCAACGGCGACCTTTCGTAGCGACTAGTGTAGAGCTAGCGATCGCCTAAGTGTTTATGTTTCCTCGACAGTACTCTCCTTAGTATCCGGCATCAGAGTCGGTAGGGGCAGAGTCAACCGTTGGGAAAGGGACATTTGGTGCGTGTGAAGAGTCACTGCCAACGAAACCCGTGCATGGGCAAGAATAAGTCACGCGTAAAGAAGGAATTCAGGAAAGCGGAGCGAGCGGCAGCGGCGAGTAGAAAGGTTATCCAGCGGGACCAGAACATCCTCAAGCGCAAGGCGTCGAGTCAGAGGGAGTTAGTCTCATTTAACGCCATCCACTATCTCGAACAAATCGACGTCGAGAACTTGGACGCAATTAGAAAGAGTCTGATCGAGAAGATCCGAACAGTGGAACGAGTGAACGAGCCTTTTCAGCGAGACCTGCGAAACGTGAACAGCGGCTTAAATAGCAACCGTATTAAGTACGCTCTCGACGAACTTATCAAGGTCCAAGCAACTTTAAGTCTGTCGTCCGGATACGTAACCGAAGCGATTGAAGATCGAAGCGAAGAAACCGAAGATCGACATTAAGGAAGACTTAGTTGATTACCTAGCGAGCCTGTAATAAAACCTTTTTTCCAATCGAAATCATGGAGGAAGTGTTTGCGAGGTTAGTTGGGACTATGGAGCACCAACAGCAGATGATCCAACAACTGCTGGAGGCTCAAACCCAAGCACAAGCGCAAGCGTTGGCAAATCAACAAGCGCAACAGGAGAATCAACTGAAGGCGCAGCAGGACATGCAAGCAGCGCTACTTCAATGTGTGTCTAGTAACGGCGATCAGGGTAGAAGCCAACCACGTGACACTGAAAGGCGTGTCGAGGGACTCTCAATGCCAGCGTACCATGGGCATTTGAACGAGAGCAGCAGGTTATACATCAATCGCGTCAAGACGTTCTTTGCGGCGAAAAACTTGACGTACGAAACCGACGAAACGGTTGAAGCACGCTGTCTAGCGATGGTTGTTGCGAACCTCCAAGGGCAAGCAGCTGCATGGTATCAAGAGCTAGCGTCGCAAGGTCATGGGTTTACAACACTCGCGGAGTTTGAACACGGTTTGCGTGAAGAGTTCGAACCGAGTGATCTACAAGAGCGGCTACGCGACCGTCTGTTTGCGTTGCAGCAGAAGGGGTGCAAAGACTTAGTCGAGTATATCGATTCCGTCGAGTTTGCACGGATGTGCAGGAGATGTCAGAGCTGGACAAGGTGACGTTCTTCATTCGAGGGTTAAAATTGAAGACCCGCGAGGAAGTGAAGTACCGTCAAAGCAAGACCTTGTCTGAAGCAATCAAGGCGGCGTTGGAGTATGAACGTGCACATTCTGTTTCAGTCTCGTCGATGAAGCGTCCCAACAAGACGAACCGATGGAATCGGACGGACTATGGAAGCGGCCAGCGCGAAGGACATGTACCGCGTTTGGAGTCGCAAGTGTCCACAGACATG